CGGGAGGCAGAGGCAGGCGGATCTCTGTGAGTTCAAGGCCAGCCTGGTCTCCAAAGCGAGTACCAGGAAAGGCGCAAAGCTACACAGAGAAACCCTGTCTCGAAAAACCAAAAAAAAAAAAAAAAAAAAAAAAAAAAAAAAAAAAAACAAACCCAGAGCCAGATATTGGGGTAAAAACTGAGAGATCAGAAAAGCAGAAAGAAGCCAGCCACGTTCTTATCACTTGGAAATCCTCAGCCAAAGAGAGCTACTTCCTGTATACTCACGCCTATATGCCTTTCTGTTCTGCATCTCACTTCCTCTCTCTGCCCAGCTACAGCATTTCCTGTCTGTCTGTAACAGACCTCCAGACCTCTATGGTTAATATTGCAATTAAAGGTGTGTGTCACCATGCCTGGTTCTGTTCTCCAGTGTGGCCTTGAACTCAGAGAGCTGGATGGATCTCTGCCTCCCAAATGCTAGGATTAAAGGTGTGTGCTACCATTGTCTGACTTCTATGTTTAATATAGTGGCTGGCTTTTTCCTCTGATCCTCAGATAAGCTTTATTAGGGTGCACAATATTTTGAGGGACACAATATATCACCACATTTCCCCTTTTTGTCTAAAATAAAAAAATAAAAAATTATAACTAATATAAGAAAAGCTATATACAATAAGTACAATAACTATATACAATATATACAAGCAATAAATACATCAACAATGTCTAGTCCATTTGCATTTCACAAATTCAGAGAAAATATTCCATTATCTATCCTATTTTTATGAATCTAAAGGATTGTATCTAATTTACCTTCTATCCCAATTTGCATAACCAAAACTATCTTTTGATGTCTTTCAAACTTATACACTTTAGACTTCTTTAGTGAGTTTCTTTTCTGAATTTCTTAATAAGGAAAACTATAACTATCTAATCTTCAATAGTTTGTTTTAATAACTATTAATTATAAAATAATTATCACTTGGAAATCCTCAGCCAAAGAGAGCTACTTCCTGTATACTCACGCCTATATGCCTTTCTGTTCTGCATCTCAGAGACCTGAGAAGGAAATAATATTAACTGAGTAAGGAGGAAGTGCAAACAAGCAACTTCCAAAAAAATGTGAGAAATGACAGAAACAGCTGGCTGCCTGGATAGTCACCCAAGGTTCCTCTGCAACATTGGGGCATCATCCTCAGCTTATCTGACAGACTCATTTGTGAAGCAGGATTTTCTAAAGAGCCTTCCTACCTTGTCTTGGCAAGGATAGGCAGTCCTTTGTTTTGTGTCCTGTTTGTCCATTTTGAATAGCATACTGTGAGCAGTTGATGCAAAGGCACTTTCTTGCCCAGTGACTAACTTTTGCCACAATGAAAGTAAACTTCATATGGAGTTTCTTCAATGCCCATCATCTTCTCTGAAGTAGATAGGTGCTGCCAGGAGCAGACATGTCTCATAGTCATAAAAAAAAAGAAAAAATGTATATGTTATTAAAACATCTTAAATGCCATATTTTGTAGATCTCTAAAGTGTTTGAAGATGCCCTATCTAAAATATATTTCTGCTTGACCTTGAAAACATATGTAATATGACTACAAGTTCCATTGTAATGACTAACTACTAACTTACATTTCTTTTTATCCTAAATAGTTGGTAATAATAACTTTCAAGGATTAACAAATTGCATTACATTGTTAAATGAACTGTGTAGGTACAATACCTTGAACAAGATTAGAAATATATGTACAATATATTCAAACAAAATCAATCTCAGATTTGTATCAATACAAAATTTGTATACAGAAATCCAATCTAATGTAAAATATTTAAAGTTAGTAGTTGCCTTTTAAAGTAAATTCAATAATCTACCTTTTTATCTTATCATGCATGAGTTAATTTTTGTGTGATACTTTTCTCCTTGCCTCCTGAGTCTTTCCTATGTTGGTATTTATTGCTATTAAGCTTTAAGCAAAAAAAGTGACATATGGAGAGAGTATGTTACGGACATATATTTATACATACTTACATGTTACTTTTTTGGCTTTGCAAAATTTCTGGCAAATATGCTATTTAAGAGGAATGTATCATTGCCCTGCTGCTCTTCCCTTTCTGGTCAGCCTCTGTGCCTTGAGGGCTTCAGACAGCTCTTGGGAACTCTCAGTCCTAGCAGGACAGACTTCCAGATACCTGGTTTGCAGGATGTCACTCCATCCTGACTTTACCTGTTCTGAACATATTATTTGTAGAGACCAAGTCTTCTTGTGTTTCCACAGTCTTATGGTTCAGTTCTGTCCTGGGGCTATGTTCACTTGCTGTCTTTTTAGAAAGGGTATGTCAAACGGAGTGGGCCTTGCAGGGTAGGTCTGGCAGAACAGGTTGCCACCCCCAGGAATTGGCTTCAGCCTCTGCATCGGGAAGCCATTTTGCAAGCACACAAAAGTAGACCAAGGTGTATAGCAAAGTTCATAATGTTCTCTCATTTACCTTTGCACCTGTATGTTCTCCATTTTATTTTTTTAGTGATTTTTCTGAAAAGATCACCTTTTTGGATGCCTTTCCATGCATCCAGGAACAGTTTGTGTGGCAGGTTGAGATCTGTAGTTCTCAGTCACTCTTGTCCATATGCCATGGGGAAGGATATGGGGTGGGGGTCTGGAAACTCATATGCGATGCTAATAAGCTCTCAAATAAACCAGTACTTTGCAATGTGCCTTGGAAGGTCACCAAAGTCACTGTTTGGCAAACAAGTTGTTCAGTAGGTACTAGAACATTCCCCACGTGCAGAAACTGGTCCTTTGATAAGAGATTCAGACAGTACTACACAAGCAGGAAGTTCCAGAGTGAGGGCCCGGAATCACACTCAGTAAGAAGCCTTGGGCTCTTGCCAGGGGGCTGCATGGTACGGCTTACAAGGCAAGGAAGGTCAGTCCTTGACTTTTGGCCAGTTCTCCTCCACGTAGGAGGCATGAACATCTACACTTCAGTCTTCTCTGCTCTCACGCCTCACCTGCTACTCCCTGAAAGATCTTGCTCTCTCAAGACCATACCAAGGAAATACTATATAGTTAATAAAGTTTTCGCTGGACTCAAGTGTGTTTCAATCAAAACCTGAAGATCCTTGAAAACCTTCGAGACGGAAACCAAGGAGTCTGTTTTATGTCAGAATTTAATTTTCAGACCGATAAAGTGGAAGAAAAAAACAAACAAACAAAAAGAGAAAAATAGAAGTCTTTTTCAGTATGAGGAACTTTTCGGCGTGACACATTTGTCAGAATGAACCAATGCCCTGACACATGGGGCTCAAAGGGGCCTTCCTGGTGGGGGTAGTTGTACAAGTAGCCACCAGAGGGCAGCAGAGGGTCAGAACAGCTGGTGAGAGTAGTTCTAAGTTAGTTTCTCGGGCAAAGGCTGAGAAATGAAGAGACACCCCAGGGGACTTCTACATGCAATGAGTCCTGGATGATTCTCCCAGGCAGATCTTTTTCTTCAGGGCCGACGCGTCTGTCCCCAGATGCTGGCAACACTGCGGGGCGGAAAGCCTGCTGATGCAGTTGCAGAGAATTGCCTGCCCAGGGAACTGCCCCAAGTTACGCCCTCTCCAGGGAGACAAATAATGATGGTCCAGCGCGAGGATCGGGAGCCCTGGCTCTTTGCCTTAGTTTGTGGTAACTCTTAAGGGCCATGCAAGATCCAGAGTCTCAGGACTGGCGGCGGCTTTGAGGATTCTAACCAGCTCTGTCTTTCTAAACTCATCGACGTGTCTCCAGAAGTCCCCATTTGATGAACACATCTCATGTTGTCAGCCACCAGGATCCCCCATTACAGCAACAGCTATTTGGTTTAGAGAAACCTAGCCATTACATCAAAACCTGGACATCGAAGACACAGAGCAGGCCGGGGGAAGAGGGGCTGTAAAATTCCTTTAATGACATCTCAGCAAATCTTATTTTCCGTGGGTGCATGTAGAAGGGCACTTGGGTTCGTCGGCCCTTCCTTCCCACCCATGTCCTCACATCACCGGGATGGCAGTGCCCCACCCCTTCAGAGCCACCTAAGCACTGCTTACACTGTTAACCACAGTTGTCCTTTTCTGGGATGGTGCCCAGTCACTTAGATGGGATCCCAAAGCACATTCAAACACACGTCCAAGAAAGGCGTGGCCAAAGGAGACCAGCAGAGAAATGAAATGCTCTGGCTCACGCCCCAATTCTCCTGAATTTATTTTTAACCCTGGACCATGTTGGCCTTTGCCATTTTTTAAGTCCCTGGTAGGATTTTTTCCACCTAAATAATCCAGGACCGGTGCCTTTCATTAGCTTCAGTAAGAACTCCTTCTATCAACCCTCCCGCTGTGAAGGAAAAGGACTCCTACAACCCTGTGCTGTAAATCCAGTATTTTGTAGCATGCACAGAGGCTAGGCCCTCCACGGGGAGATGACTGAACGGCCTATGGATTAATGTACTATTATTACATTACTCTTTAAGCTTCAAAGGTCTGCCAGGAGGGCTAAACTCGCTATCTATTCCATGACATTTTAAGAACAAATAATACATTAATATATTTAATTTGAGAATAAACACATACATTACAGGCAGGGGATTTTGTCTATGCTGATAAAGGCACCGACTGACCTTTCCAGAGCAATCCCAGCACGCTGAGCTGAAAAGGGACGTGTTCCAAAAGCCCATTTCTATCTGCTGTAATATGTAGGCTCTCACGCATGCTTGACCTGTGAAAAGCTGCAGCTCCCATGTTCTTTGGAGATGGGCGCCATGGCTATAATTACTCCTCAGACACTAATCTGTAGGAACACTAAATCTTGTTGCCTCAAATTAGTTAATCAATTAAGTGTCAAACCACAAAATGTTGGAGATTTGGGCTCGTATTTATTATCTTGGCAGGCACTTCCTCTCTCGGCCTCTCCGTTTCCTCTCTCTCCTCCTTGCAGGGGAGCTGGCTTTTTAAAAACGACCGGTCCACTCATTGTTTATTTCTGGCTTGTTAGCAAAACAGTTGAAATTACATAAGCCCGATGCCCGGGACCGACCAAATCCACCGTGAGATTGACAGGTTGGCTACCGTTCAAGCCGAGCTGTGTGTTCTCTCGTGCCTTTCTTGGGATTAGCTTAAAAGAGCATCGTCCTCAGTGTCTGCTAAGGTCAGCCATTTTGGAGCCTGCCTTTAATTGATTGCGAGTCTTGTTTATTGTCGTGTTACTCTCGTGAGGTGAGTAAACGATGGGCAGTGATGATTTTTAGAATTCCCTGCTCAGAATTTCTGTTTTCTCTGCGCTCCTTGGCTCTTCAATAGGTGTGTCTAGCTCGCCGCAGCATGGGCTGCAGGGATCCAGGCACAAGGCACCGAGGGACTATGCCCACCCACGCCGTTCTGGAGCTGGCTCCCTCCCTGGGCATCTCATAGGTCCTCTGATGCCTTCCCACCGAACATTTTCCAACTTCGGCTTACTCTTGCCTTCTGCTCAGTTTAGCTATCCAAACGGTGCCGTACTTGAATCTCAAGTAGACACAAACAAATGACTTCACTAATTCTACCTGGTGATGCAAAGGTAAGAAATAATCCCAGTATTTAAGGAGTGTATAATCTCATTGACGGGACAGAGATGTATGTACTTAACAGTGAAGACCCACGGGAAAATGCACATATATTAAGTAACAGATCTGTGAGCTGTGAGTATGTGCAAGTCTGGGCTGTACGGACTCACTGTACTATCACTACACTGTCTCTTGGAGGCAACATATCATTTCAGTGATGGGCGAAGAGGTTAGTACAGCAGTCTCGAACAGCACTCTCTGGACCTGGACCTACCCTAGCAATGACCTCTTTCTAAGTTTGGGCATCAAGGTGTCCTTCCTTGCTCTGGTCAGGGTGGTGTCTTTGGGCTTTTGACCTTCACTAAGAGTCCCAGAAGGGACAGTGATGAGCACATCGGAGAGAGATTTTAGACAGTACTGAGGTGACTCCTTACGTTTAGCGTTGAGGAACTGAGAAAGGAGAGGGGACTGCCTCCAGAGTAGTGACCGTCCTGTCCCCAGTTAGGAATCGGCCTCTTGTCTTGTTTGTGTGGCTCTTTCTGCTGTGCCTCCTAGCGGGTGGCAGACCTCTGGGTCTTTTTGGTCTCGTGCACTTTGAACTTTCATTGTCAAACCTGTGACAAGAAATCAGTGGCTCGGGGAGAAGGAGACTGTCCTCTTGGACCAGATTCAAGCACGACTTACGAATCCCTTTAGGTCCCCTTGGCCTGTGTCAGTCGACTCCTGAGGACTACTTAGCACTACGGTCTGAATTTGGAGTCAGACACAGGGCAGTTTAGTTGTCCTTGAAACACAGGTGCAAAACTGACCATAGTAAGTTGTTGTGAGATCAGCATGGTGGCTGTCTATCAATGGTGAGTGCAGACTAGTACTCAAAAGTGTAAATCCTGTCCCCACCCTCTCTTAGCCAAGGTCTTAATTAAAACTAGCAGTGAAGAGGGAAGACATGATCATCTCTTTACAGGGCCTCGTGGTCATCTTGCAGGGTTTGTGACTAGATTAATAGACACACTACCCTGAAGCTCTGAGGTACTCCCGTACTCTAAAGCCAAGGAAATGGGTGATATGCTGTAACATCACTGAATGTTAGGTTTTCACATTTGTATGTGTTCTAATTTAGCCTGGAGTCAACGTTATTAAATACAGGCATACACGAAGAGGAAAGGGGACTCCCTCGGACTTTCACAAGCAACTCACTTGCACCCATGTAGCTTTGCAATTCTTACCCTGCTCCTCCTTGCTGGAAGCATCCACAAGCAGACAAGAGGCCCATGAGCCTGATGTGTCTACAGGTCTAGAGATTTAATAAGTTAGTCAACTCCAGGCTTATCTGTCGGGTCAGTTTTACACGTCTGCTGGTCTTCAATTCAGCCTTCTTTGACCCATACATACTACAGTGTCTTCCCATTTAATCTTCCCTGAACACAAATAAAACAAAACAGAGGAATTCCTGGACGTCAGTATGAGTCTCCTCCAACAAGGCTTGGAGTAGGTGAGTCTCTCTGCCTTCCTCCTTGTCAGGCCCATTTGGCAGATAGTCGGCTGGGCCAGGCTTTTGTCTCCCTGGGTTATGATTTACGCGAGTGGACCCAGAGCAGGGAAGAGCCGAGTATCAATTTCGCTGGGTTACGGTGTTAAATGGCCGATGCATGGATGGTTATTGCTGCCTCGGGAGCAAATGAAAGCCCTTGGCTTCCCTGACACCGCCACCCCCCACCCCCTGCTGATGATCAGTTAAAAATGTAAATAAAAAGACTGCACTTTGGAGAGAGTCAGCTCCAGAGGGGGGTTGTTGGGGGGGGGGAGATTGCAAAAGCCAAGTTTATTGATCCTCTGGTCAAGATTGATGGCACAATAAGAGCAGGAGGCGAAGAGTGATTTTGCTTTTGAAAACGTTGATGAATAAGCACTGAGGGGCAACAAATAGCCGGGCTCAGCCCGTGATGGACGGCGGTGGGGGAACAAGATGCATTTTTATAAATGGGTGAGAGGAGAAGAGGACTTATTAAAAAAATGAATGACCACATGTGGCAGGGATATGCCAGGAGGGAGAAGAAAGCCATTGATTTATGTGTACTACTGGCATTTGAAAATTCAATAATAACATTGACAAATGAGAGGCAGACCTGGCCACAGGACAGCGCCGAGCCAAGGAATGGAGAAAAGAAAATGCCAAGGTCAGAAAGAAGGAACAGAAAAACACGCTTAGGTTGGAAAGCTTTACATTAGCTGGTCTCTATAAAGATGTTAAGGAAAAAAAATCCCTCTGCTCTCAGTGGGCAGCTCTGTGAGTCCAGCCAGGGAGGAGGGCCCTGGCTGTCCCGCTGCCTGGAGGAGGAAGCTTCCTGGCCAGGGATGGCTGTGCTGCCTGACCCCAAGTCTCTGGCACCTGCAGTGTGAGCTTAAACACCCTCACAGTCAGGAAGCTCCTGTGCTGAGCTGTTGCTGGGGTGCTGTTGCTGGGGTCCCGTTGCCCACACTTGGTTGTTTGGGGCTGTCCCTCTTGCCCATGGTCCCCGTGCTGCCTGAGGATCTTGACGTGGTATCTATGGAGCCCCGTGTACTTTGCTTCTATCTAAGCGGCATCAGACACCTCAATGTTTCCAGCTTCTCTGCCCCTTCTTCAGGTCCTTCCACCTCTCTACTGTATCTGAATGGATGTTCCTTTCACTGAAGCCTCTTTCTCTCAAATCCCATTCACTCACTCACTCATTCATTCATTCACACACCAGGTGGCTGCCCTTCCAGGAAGCCTCTGTGGGCAAAGCTGAATTGCTCTGGAGTGTATCAGCCTGAGAACACCCGGGTTAAGAGTAACTCTGAAGCAATGTCCCTTGACCGCATGGATACGCCTGAGAGTGTGCACACTCTCTCCTGCTGAGCAGAATGCTCAGAAAGAGCAAGCCAGTGGCCTCTGACTTGTGCCAACCTCCTGGTTTCCAGGGAGGCTACACCCAGTTCTCTGCCCCTACGCACAGACCGATACGATAGCGTAATCCCGGGATTGTAACATTTCAGCCACTTACAGCATCCTCTTTTGTTTCCTGCCTCTGCCTTAAATGGCAAAGGAGTGTGTGTGGAGGAAACCCTCCAGGGAGAGGGCTGGTCACCTGTCACCAAGCTTTCTTTGTCTTTTCGCCCATCCTGCTACTGTTTCCCTGGGGCTTGGCTGGCTGTTTGATGTCTTCTCCAAATGTTAGAAGGTGAGTAGGGGCTTGAGCAGAAACATAAATCCCTGCTAATGCTCTCCTGGAAAAGCCAGGAGGCACCATCTCTCCCAAGGGCCTGTCTGCCGGCCTGATCCAACAATTGAGATGGCCATGAAGCCCCAGGTGTGCGCCTGTCTACTTAGGGTTACTCTAGGCCTCCCGAGCTCATCACATTTTCAAGTGGAAATATTTTATTAACTCCTACCGCGCACAGAGTCTTCTTTTCTTTGTTTCTTTTCTCTGCTAAGTCTCAGGAAATTTTCTTCCCCTGCCTTAGTTCCCAGTGGCAGACAGGTAATAAATAGAGAGGCACTGAACTGAGAGGTGGATAATGAAACAGGGTTGGGAGGGTGAAAGTTCCTAGTCTCCTGTGGGTGCCCAAGCCAGTTCTGAAGAAGTCTCTTGTGTAGCCACTCTTGCGGATCTAGTGACCACAGCCAGCAGATCCACTGGGCATCCACTCTTCAGAAACACTCGTGGACTTGTGCATATTGCCCAGATTGAGTCACTTACTGGGCTGGCAAAATAGGACCTCCTCTTTCACCACGTGGCAGCTGAGCGGAAAGAGAATGGTGGTTAAACACACAATTGCCCTGTGTCACTGATGAATCAGTCCTCCAGGACCTGAAGCAGGGTTTGGCACTCAGTTCCTATTTTCTGAATAAATGAAGGAATACAATGTATTAGAAGAGCGCGCCAAGACTACAGAAGCTTCGTTTTGTTTCTGAGAACTCAGGACACCTTAACAAAGGAGATGGCATTGAAATCTGCTCTTTAGACCTGAATAGGGATGAAGAAAGAGCCTTCTTGCCAAAGTACAGGATGGTGTGGAGGGGCGGGATCCCCATTTACGGAAAACTGAGATAAGTCAGGTGGGAGAAGATCACAGCTGAGTTCAGTCGCAGTTGGAGAGCCTCACACTCAGGGCTCTGGTGCTAGCATACACAGAAACAGGGCTTAGAAAGAAGGGAGCTGGGGCAGGAAGCCAGGGAAGTCTCACCCAAAATGCCGATGACCGCAGGATTGCCGCAGGCTTTCCCAAGCCTGGTTCTGGAGTGTCACAGTTGGCCAGTGGCTTTGCCTGTGGCTGTCTCCCAGTAGATATTTGAATTCGTGAGCCATGGGTCATCATGTGGTCTTAAGAGGCTACGAGGCCCAGCCCTGCCGTCTCTTCTCAGTGGCAATCCCAGAAGAAGGGTCAGGGAAGATCTTGCTGGCCATTAAGATGGGTACCAGACATACTCAAGTAGACCTGTAGGAAACAGCCAGATCAAAACACTGAGGCTGGAAAGTGCCAATCCCAAAGCGCTTTGAAAGAATGGCTTCCATTTTCCAGGGAAGCCGTTTCTCTGAATCCAACGTCATGGCTTGTAGGAAATAAGCCCAAGAGGTAGCTTAGGCTGTTCTGCCTGGTTCGTGTGGGGAGCGCTGGTAGAAGGCCAGAAGCCCTTCCATCATTCAGCCTTCCTGCTGCTCCTGGGAGACTCTGATGTGCCCCTGCAGACTGCCCAGGGCAACTCCAAATACCATCCAAAGCCTCCCATGTAGGCCAAGCCCCCAAAGGAAATGGATTGCTGGACAAGGCTGGCAACATGGAAAGTTGGAAAGGTAAATAAGGTAAATGAGGATAAAAAAGAAGGTATTCCAACAGGGATTAGGGGTCACTCTTGCCCAACAATATGGGAAGGGGGTCCTTTAAGGGTGTGGACTTTGTTTTCCATATTCTGCCACTAGAAATCACAGCTCCAGGGTGGAGTGCAAGTCTTTGCAAAGGGTGGATGTGTGCTGACTTTCCTCTAGCCCAGTGGTTCTCAACCTTCCTAATGCTGTGACCCTTTGATACAGTTCCTCATGTTATGGTGGCCCACAACCATAAGATTATTTTTGCTGCCACTTCATACCTGCAATTTTCTACTGGTATGAATCATAATGTAAATATATGATATGCAGGATAGGATAGCTGATAAGTTACCCCTGTGAAAGGGTCGTTCGAACCCTAGGTTGAGAACCAATGATCTAGGATGTGTGAACTGTACTACAGAAGGGGTGATTGAGGGAAAGGAGGAACTTGCCCACCGTGGTACTTCCTCTGCCTTATAAGTTGCCCAGTTAAAGCTTTTATTTGTTGGTTGAATAACAAAATTAATTGGCTTTAAGCCATCACTTGCCATGAAGTTTCTATCTGTTTTGTTTTGCTGAGACAGGTCTTCTAATTTTCAATATTTTTCTCCCCTAAAACAAAAGAGGTTTCTTGTTCTTGTTTTAATGAAATCATCCTTGACTCATTGTAGTGTGAGTTGGAATGGGGTAAAGAGCTATGTCCGGGGTAAAGACCTATGTCCCGGGTAAAGAGCTATGTCCCGGGTAAAGAGCTACGTCCCGGGTGAAGAAAGGGAAGAGGCTGCCCATGTCTCTGGGAGCTCCTTTGCTCTGTGGATGGTAAGACAATGCCCAGATGCAAGCTTGAGGCCCCTCCCCCCATCCAGATAAAGCATTATTACACAGCCCAAACTGGCCTTAAATTCTTGATTCCCAGTGCTGGAATTACAGACGTACCCCACCACATCCAGTGTACCACATTCCTTTAGCAGGGACCTAATCACAAACATCTTCCAACAACTTCACTTCGGGAGAGACCTACAGGCCCCGGGAAACTCCCATCGAGGCTTTCTCTTGTTGGGCTGCCTCTGCTCTCTGACCCTAGAAGGTCACAAAACGGCACACAGGGAAGGGAAATGCAGTCTCCACCTCCTGAGAATGTTACAGGCAGGCTAGCTAGGGCTCTCGCCTCCTCCCTTGACCGTTTATGGGAAAGCCATTGTGACTAGACTTGAGAGAGTCAGCTACACTTTTAGACCAAATTAGCCATTTCTCCCAAGGAGCAATGGGAGCTCTTTCCACTGGGAACAAATCAACCCTGCAAGCCTGTTTGGCAACCTCAGGCACATCTCTGAGCCCAGGTTTCCTTATCTTCAAAATGACAAAAACACCACCGATATCATAAAATTGTTGTAAGGGTTGGTTGTCGTTATGGCTATGAACACTCTGTGTGTGTGTGCATATCACATTAATGGAGAATTTCTTTGTTATCACAATTGCTGCAAAGGGGAGTTTTCTCTCTCTTTTCACACCATGTGTAAAAAGTCCTAAGATCCACAGGGAAATTTCAGAGCCAATGGCTCTCCTTGTGGAAAACCCACTCCTGAAGCTAAGACCGCCTCCTTCAGACGTCTTACCACTCACAACATGCTCAGCCTGGGGGTCTGGGGTCTGGTTGGGAGGTGACCGGGGAAGGTCAGGAAGGATAAGATGACAAGTGTCCTCTAGCTCTGAGTGTTCATGTTTTATCTATTGTTTATGTGTAGATGGGGCCTCTCATTCCGCATTGCATGAGTAATGAAAGAGGAAATGGTCAGAGTCCCTGTCTTGACTTACTCAAAGCGTTTGCCTCTCTCCTGACTCGTGGGCTCACGGTTCCGTGTGGTGGGAGGAAATGCCAGCTTTAACCTAGCCCACTTCTGGTCTAATCACAGTTTTTGGCAGAGAGACTGTTGTTTGGCATTTCTAGCCTTCCCACCCAGGGCATTCCCTGGAGTCTGTCAGAGCCTAGGAAGTGGTGGAGCATAGACAGACAGACAGGCAGACACATCGATCTGGCAAGCTTCCGGTGAGTCTGAGAAAACATTTCTCCACAATATAAAGATCATTATGAAGATGAGGTCACACTCACATGTGTTCAACTGTTGTGACTCCTGAAGAGAAAAACAAGAGGATCCTTGAGTCATGCAGTCTGCCCCTCTTGTGCTAGGGTGAGAACAGAGACACAGGGCCAGTCAAAAGGGTAGTCAGAGCCATGAAAAAAAAATGTCATTTCCTGTTGCCCTGTTTCTCAGATTTTTTTTTAATTCATTGCTGTGTATCATGATCTTGATGACTGAGAATACATTTATGGGAAAGACAGATAAGCATTACCTTTTTCCTTTATCCACCATAAAACACCTATTTCAGATGCTAAATTTTAAAAAGTCCAGTAGGGCCTTATACTGTGTAATATTCAATGCTTACTGCTTGGTAAGTACTTACTATTAATATTATTATTATTATTATTTTACTTACTTTGTCCTAACCTATAGGGCATTCATATCATGAATTCCTTCTGGGAAACACATAGTATTGCATCTTGAATGCTGGATAAAACTGATCAACAATGTGACTGTGATAGGAAAGTGGTTAAAAGAAAAAAAAAGTTAATAAAATATTTTTGGGGGGTTTTTGTCTTGGCATCAATTTATGGCATCTTAAAAATAGGCACTATTTTTTATTCTCCAAATAACCTACACAAAGTACTTGACCTCTGCCTCCTCCTTTTTCTCCATCTGTAAAACAGAGAACCTGTTAACAATCATTCTTGCTATGATGGCAATTAAAAAATATTTATATAGCGGAATAGTTCTCAACACGTAGTAAATCAATGAATGTGCGCTATCGTCATTCCAATGGAAAACACCATTTGGCAGTAGGCTTCATGAACTAGGGGTGTGACTGTAAACCCTCAATGTTTAGCACAGTTCTTAGTACCTAATAGACCTCTAGTAAATATTTGTTGACTGGACAATTGCCAAAGTATGGCTCATAGAGATTGTCCAAATTGTTGACTTCATAAAGCCCGATAAAACATAATCTTTTATGGTAAAGATAAAATCAGTTCCTCCTTGCCTAGAGCAGATTTTCTACCCCACCAAATAGCTGAGCATCTATAGAGAGGCCTGTGATTGCAAGCCTGAGACTCAGACCAAGGAGGTCAACAGTAATTTTCACCATGGCAGTGTTGAAACACTACTGAGGCGTACAGTTATCTGCAGGTATCAGCGAAAGAGTGGAGGATTTCAGACACGTGCCCGTGGTGGCATCACAGACCTACAGCACGTACCCAAATGAGGACCAGCCGCCCCTCCCAAACTCAGGCTCACAGTATTTATAGCCACGTTACTTCAGCGAGGGCCAACGGCTAGGGGAATGGGAGCTGCCGTGGGGTCTGGGGCTGATGGGAAACAAAGTGTCTCTCTCTGAGGCAGCTGGGCTTATTTTAATGGGCAAGGTCAGCCATGAAATGACCAAGAAGAGAAATTGCTGCCATTATGCATCAGTTACAATCCTATATCAATTATTCCCTGTACCATTCCCTTTGCCACGGGCTGAAGCAAACATGGCCCCTAATCAGTTTTACATCTCCGTTTAATTTTATTGGAAAGAAGAGCTGGCAATGCATCACAGAGGCCGAGTGTGACACAAAAGGTGACCCCCCTGCCAACTTAATGGCACCATACATAACCCTTAATGAAGTCGCTATCTTGTCCTCTTTGGCTGTCTGGGACCTGTGATTTACAACAGCATCATTTTGCTTTACCCTCTTTTCATTTCAGCTTTGACAAAGTGGATGAAACAATTATCTTTGTTATCGGCCAGAGCAGTAGAAATGTGAGAGTTGGGGGATTTCTGCAGGTGGACAGCCTTGGCTGGGGATCAAAACCAGTGGTGAAACACGCTCAGGAATGTTCCCCTCCTCTCTCCCTCTCTCTCTCGTCTGTGACTATGAGCTTCCGAAGATGGATTGTGTATCCCGATGAACAGTGTGAGTCCTATATCATTGTGGCAAGAAGTCATTTCAGGAGAAGAGGAAGCTGCTGACAGAACAGAGCTTGGAATTTTGTGGTTTATTCTCCAGGGAGCCCCTAATATTTGTTTTCTGTACATGCCTAGGCTGTGTTCTCGCTCACACCATCTTCTTGCATTTATCAGTGGGGAATCGCACCTGCATTTTTCTGCATTATAAATGATATCTTATACGTATTTATCATAATTAGAGGCAATTTATTTATTAGCTTATTCATGTAACATTTGTTTGGTGCCTTGTAGATAGTAAAGAAAATTAAGTAGATGGCTATGGATATTTTCTTCAAGAGGAATATTCTACCAGCATAAAAGTGACTGGACTCTTAAGTAAATGTAGCACGGCATAGAAAGGGGTAAGTGAAACAAAATATGTAAACTGGACATATAGTTGCCCAGAAGAAGTTACTGTAAAGTGAAAGGGATAGAGTTTGAACAATTAAAAAGGGAAATGCCAGCCAGGCATGGTAGCATATGCCTGCAACCCCAGCACTGAGGGGCAGATCATGAGTTTGAGGGCAGTCGTAGTAGTAAGATTCTGTCAAACAAAGAAAGGCACCTCTTCCTTACAAAATGCATTGCTATTTACTATCTTGTGGGGTATGTTTTGGCAGAGAGTCGTGATGAGTGGATGTTCCAGTCTGTGGCTCTGGATATCCAACTGGAAGTAGGAAGATATCAGATCCTGTTGAGCAGTCACAACATGGAATGGGATAGACTACGAGAATGGAGTCTACAAAGGCTGCAATAACAGCATTCAGTCCTGTTGCTTAGGTCGGGTGGGAAAGGCCTGATAAGAACTTAGACATTCTCGGTAGGGGCTTTGACCTGTGCTGTTTTTTGCTTGGGAGACTTAAGGTTGTGCACACATAAGCACACGCTGTCACTGACTAGATTGCATTGTCTTTAGCTATCTATGTTCCCAAATAGATAAGCTTGCAAAATTCAGCCAAGTAGCTTCTTCTGCACTGTATAGACTCAGGAAGAACTGCAATTAGTTTTTACTAACTTCCAGGTTCTATGAAGTACAAAAATAATAGGTTGGAGGTTCACTAATCAACGAGATTCTCTTTGCAAATACCACCTGCATGAGGTCCATGTTGTTAAAGGGATTTTTAAAATGACCGACAGTTTGTTCCATGGCAGATGGAAAACTATAATGTTGACAAGGTTAATTTATAATGCATCCTTCATATAAATCTGCATATAAGTAAACTTCAAAATGACTACATCCTATCAATGGACATATGTGCATACAGAGAAGTCATCCCTGGGAAAGTCAATATGCATCCTGTTCAGCCTCTGCCTTCATCGCCCTTCTGTGTATGGAAAGGAAAAGGCTCTAATTTGATTTTCCAAAAGTAGGCCATATTCACTTTAAACAAACAAGTCACCAGCTTGGTTGTTGAATCACTGTCACAGAAAGGGTCACATTCAATATTCAACCAACGTACCAATAGCCAGAATTCCTTTTCTTGAAAGAGCATTGTCTTAATGCTCCTGCCCCACAACCAAATACTCCTATATGCTTCCCTCACACCCAATTAGCCCCTCTCCTGCCCTCAGAGGTACATTCACTGCCTTTGGTGTTAAATCCTGCCTGTAATCCTGTCGCTGAGGGGTACCACGTAGAATTCAGAGATTGAAATAATGCAGCGGCCGAGCGGGAGAGGGAGGATGCTATGTACCTTCTCTCAGTGTAGCATCCATAAGTTAGAGGTTTATTTCATCTGTTTGCACTGCTAAGTGGGGAGTTGAAGAGGTGAAGAGGCATAGCACATGACCTGAATACAACTTGTACCTGGCGTGAAGCACTACATGCCAAGGATGTCCCGATCCCCCCAACTGGGCAGGCAGGGGTGGGTGATGGGATAATCTCTGGGAAATAAAACAAGACCTTTTTTTTTTTTTTTTTTTTTTTTTTTTTTTTTTTTTTTTTTTTGGCTGGAGTTGGAGAAAACGGACACAGGAGAGGGAACCCTGCTGCTACTTCCTTCGATCTCAGTAAATTGGAAAGGTTTTCCCTGGTGCCTGCTGATATTTCCTGATGGAAATTTCTTCCATTGACAGAGATACAGATGGAGTTTACCGACATGGGACTGTAGACACACTCTGGGATAATGAAAAAAATGCCCACGGTAGCCATATGCTCAGTGGCAGTTTGCTAGAAGGAACACTCCAGTTGGGTGAATACAAAATAGCATTTTTGGCAACACTGACTAAGGGGGATCCTCTGTATTTCCATGCCTTAAAAAAAAAATCTTTCGGTCTGATTTATGTGAATTTTAAAAACACAGTCTTCTTTTTATTTTTATTTTTAAATGTCTTTTTGAAATGCTCTTTCCTCTGCTCTTGAGGTTTATTTCCGAGAGATTAGGGTGGCCTGGGACAGGGGTATACTCAGAGAGTGGGCACTCTTGGGTTCCATTTTCTTCAAGTGCCTGCTTTGTCCATTCTTTCTTCTGCTTTGGGAGGCCGCTGTGTGACTGATAAGGCTGCAGCACGCCTGTGTTTAGAACTTCCAGCTTGACTGCCACTCTGCTCTCCTTTTCACACCTCTCAGAAGCTGAAAACCTCCCAAGCTTTTGCCCGGTGTAACACAAGCAGAACTTACCAGATCCACGGTTAGAACCCAAGTCAAGCCTTGTTCGGAAGCTTCTAGAACTCATGTTCTCAGCGTACCGCAAGGCTGTCTCAATTTGGGACCCAGGGGAGGATTCTGAGAGTAGGTTCATTTGTAAAACACTCGGCGTTATATTTTAACTCGAGAGTCTGGGCTCATTTATGACATGGGGTCGCCAGAAACATGTTCTTACAAACTTTTCTTACCACACATAGCTTTATGGGACTTTAAAAAAGAAATCTCTTAGGTTTAAGTCCTCAAATATGATTTAATTCTGTATATTTACTCCTGGAGCGTTGTTGTGACCCAGTAAAACTGAGCAGGCCGAGTCCTATTTGTCTCTCCATTGACCCGACTTGTTTTCCGTGAGGTCAGTTTACATACAGGGCAGAAACATTGCCACAACACTTTTAGGTGTGAGAATGCATATAGAGAAAAGGGCGCAAGTGAAGGCAAAATTTTATGATCTAGGTCTAAGCCAGGAATAATTAGAATCACTGTTTTGAACCCAGTGTGCAAGGTGAATAATTTCCCTGAGGCTTCTTGATACAGGTGCAAAGAGAAAACATGTTCAGAGCCCCCCAAAGTGTGCTCAGACTGAGGCCAAAGGAGTGGAGCTGTGTGATTTTTCTTCTTCTCCAACCCTGTCAGACAACACCTTCCATGCATCATGCAGCCAGCACCCGGCTAAGGTGCGACTAGAGGACCACATGGTCAAGGCAAGCAGGGCAGCTCATCGGGTCAAAGGTAATCACTCATTTCCTAGATAAGCGGTTCCCTCTTTATGAAATATGACAAAAGAGCACACACTCTGGAGCAGGGCTTTATATCCTCATTACAGTCTCCCTCCCAGCATCCCGGCCCTTCCTTCCCAGGCCTAGCTCTTTCCTCTTAATTTAGTCAGCCTTGCTCAGCCCTGAGTTGTAGAGAGTATCTGTAAACCCATCTTCCCTGGCCAAGATTTTGGTTTCCTAGAGCTTTATCTCTCTTGTATGAGGGGTCTCTCTCTCTTCTCTCTCTCTCTCTCTCTCTCTCTCTCTCTCTCTCTCTCTCTCTCTCTCTCTCTCTCTCTCTCTCTCTCCAGTTCCTCCCGAGCATGTGTGTGTGTGTGTGTGTGTGTGTGTGTGTGTGTGTGTGTTCCAATCACTGATGGCACCTAAATGACAGAGCTGGGGATGGGATGGGAAATGGGAAAGAAAACTAACTAACCTGAAGGGATGTTAAGAACCAAGCCCTTGCCTTTTGAGGGCCCTTGTCTGATTAGAGAAATCAGAAGTGAGCAGAAGAAGCAGCCAACCACTTCTACCCCAGTGGGCTACTTGCTTGGATCCCCTCTGTGAAGCACCAGAAATATCAGAAAGACCCCCCCACCCCACCCCCCACCCCCACCGCCGCCAGGAGGAATTCCAAGGCCAGGGTGGCAGACCCCAGACATCCTGACTCATCAAGGGGTTCTTCTAGGAAAGGGGATAGCTCTACGGAGAAAAAATGGACCCTTGCTCTCTCTCTCTTGAACCTTGATGTCCTCTGAATTGCCATCGGAAACCAACTGCAGGCCTCGATGCTTCATGTACATTGTGGTTTAAGTACACCAGAGGCATGATATCACAAATTGGTCCTCAGCGCCTACTTCCGCTAGGACGTCATCCGGCTTACGTTATTCTCCTAGGTGGAGAGGAAGGGGAGCAGCTCCCCACTTCCAAGCCTGCCCTGGGGTAGATTCTGCTTTAACTGCCCATGGCATGATTCATGTCCAAGCTTTTATTTGTTTATGTATTTGTTTATTTATCTATCTATTTATTTTTTCTCAGAGAATCTATGTCAGGGCTTCCTTACCTCCACTGAAAAATTTGTCCTCAGAGAAGACAGCAAATCTGCTCCCTTGGCAGAGGGTGGAAGCCATAGCTTGTGACATTCCCCCGGTAACCCTGCCAGGTCCTGGGCAGCCAGCATCCCTGCAGGGGTGAACACCACATATGGAAACAGAAATTGCTCCCCTATAGGAAGCAGTTTACACTGACACTGTTTGTCATCTCTGAGAAAGGCAAGCCGCGTGACAGGTTCTGTTCTGGCGTGAGGGGCAGGAGGGAGAATTACGGGTACTTCTTTCTAAAAATTTTAATAAGAGAAAAACCTAAGATATGAAGGACCAAAGGGCTGCAGCCAGAGCCTGGATGCAGAGGAGTCACTAGCAAGAGGTCTCAGGGTCTCTCTAGCACGCATTATAGGTGGGTGGTACTTCCACCCAGTGAGTGTATCTGTGACGTATCAGGAATTCCCAACTCCAACATCTTCTAATCAGATAGACACATCACTATCATTTTTACACAAACAACTCCAGAGGCATCCCTAGCAGCAGGGAACGGGTCTGTACAGAGTCAGAATCCTTGGTGCTGTGATCTGCTCTAGGCCTGATCCAACAGATCAGTTCTGAATCTCAGGAGCCTCGCAGAGGCACTTCTGGCCCTGGAAAACCTGGACAGGGAAACAGGGATGCCTCCTTAGGCAAAGGACCTCAGGGCTGAGGAGGTGGGGGAGGGGGGAGACTTTGCCTGGATCCTGTGCCTCTTGCAAGTTCTGGGCCACTGAGACAGGTGCAGAAGCTGGGGCAGTCCATGCAAGTGTCCTTCTGGGGGAAAAAAGCACGTGCTAAAGAATATAGTGAACAAGCATGTAACTAGGCACTGTGTAGTTCAGGCTAGCTACTTAATTTGAATTTAGGATCTGTTTTTGCAAAATAAGCATACCAATGTCTAACTACCAGGGTTCTCCTAACACTGAAAAGGAAAAATACAAGGAAAAGGTCTAAAGAACTACCTTGGCCATTTTAGTGCCTCAGATACCTGCATATCTTGTCGCTCCCAACTCTCACCAACACCCTCTCTTGGGATGACCACCTTTGTCTAAGACAGCTTCATTTGATGACTTTCTAGAGAGATTGGGAATACTGGGGACTAATTAAAGGTGCAGCAACATAGACAATGATAATAAAAGGACAAACATCCATGAAAGGATGCCCAGTATTGTACATCACAGAGAACTACAAACACATGCAAAGCACTCGTACAACCAAATACTGGCGAGGATGCGGGGCAATATGAAGCCTCATTCGTTGCCAAGGGGCGAACGTTTGGGGAGATGGGCCAGCAACTCCGTAGAGTGTGAACCAGCCATCATACACCAAGACATTTACCAGCTTCCTTTAAAAACTTACATCTACACACACACACACACACACACACACACACACACACACACACACACACACACACAAAAGCCACCTGTGTGTGGCTGCTTCTAGAGACTTTACTCATAACTGCCCAAACACAGAAGCAACCAAAATACTTTTCAGTGGCTGACAATAAAATTGTATTCAATGATAGGAGAAAGTGAGCTGTCAAGACATAGAAAATACAGAAACTAAATGCACATCACTAAATAGAAGAAACTGGTCTGGGAAAGCCATGTAGTAGCCAGCAGCTTGTGAAGAACCAAGAACAGAACTTTCTGGAAAGGAATGTTGCCTGTGG